CCTCCATTTTTTATTGCTTGTTTGGAATTGTGGCTGTGATTGCGATTCAAAGTACTTTTTGTTTAGAAATGCATTAAAATAAAGTTTTTTTTTTAAAAAAAAATTATTTTTGATATTAATACATTAAAACAATATAAAAATATAAAAAAGTATTTTAAATAAAAAAATTAAAATTTTTAAAAATATAATTTACGCTGTGTTTCCAAACGAGCAAGTATTTTATTTATTTTTTTAGAGTTTTGATTTTAGTAATATGGTATAAATTGATTTTTAAAATGTTATTTAAAAAAAATATATATATTTTTGATTTTTTAAAATTTATTTTTAATTTCAATACATTAAAACAATCTAAAATCATAACAAATTAATTTAAAATAAAAAGATTTTTTTTTTCAAAATATAAGAACATCGTATATTTAGAGGGACTATGTCGATCAAGCAAATGCCAAAAACCAACCTGGGACCCTGTCGGGTCAGGTAAAAAAATCAGGCTCCCTCTTATCCGGGTATCATCGGGTCGGCCGAAAAATAGCAAACGACGCGTCTTTTGGAAAGAGAGCGAGCTGTGGTTTCCTTTCAGCGAGACCTTTCTGGTGTTTTCAAAAAATTGAGCCCCAAAATCCCGCACTCACTCTCTTCTCTTCTCAACTGTAATTACTTAGAGAAAAAGGAGCGCTCTCTCTCTCAGTTTCTGATTTTGAGCACAAGAATGGATGTGCCAAAGGATCAAATCACAGCTCTTCTCGATAACCAACTCTACAATTCCGCTCAAATTCTCGTAATTATCTTTTTTTTCTTCTTAACAATTTGAGAAAAAAAATCGTTGAATTTTGTATTTTCATTTACAGGGTTGCTTTCTGGTTTCATCATCTACTGTTAATCTCGAAACCAGCCCCCAGCTCAAAGCCGAGAATCAGGTGCCCTTTATCTTTTCTCTCACATCATTTTCTTTTTATTTTCCAATTTGACGTTTTTTTTTTCATTTTTAGATTCTTCTTGGAGATGCATTGTTTCGCGACAGAGAGTTTCGCAGAGCGATTGTGAGTGTTTCTATATGCGTGCGTGCGTGTGTTTATTTCTTAGAAGAATCTGGAATTTAGTTGTTTTGCGTTTTTTTTTTTTTTTGATTTTTTGTAGCATACGTATAAGCAAGCATTGCATTACTGCAAGATAATTCCGAAACAGAGTTCGACAACTTCTAGGAGTTCATTATCGAACAGGTCTTCTTCTCCGAATTCTTTTAACATTTCAGCAATTAATGAAAATGAGGTACATTGATTTTATTTTATTTCTTACACACACATTATTTGAGGAATTGTGTGGTTTATATTGATTTTTACTGTGTTACTTATCTCAATGGTAGGTGAAGTTCAAGATCGCATCTTGCCATTCCGCATTGAATGAAACTAGAGCCGCACTTGTTGAGGTTTTTCCCTTATTACAATTCTATTCTTTATATTTTTACTAGAATTTTTCCCTTTTAATTAATTAAGTTTTTTTTTTTGGCAGATGGAAGGAATTCCAAGCAAAGCAAGAACTTTACAAATGAGTTTATTGATGGCAAAGCTTTATAGAAGTTCAAGACATACTCGCTTTGCTATCACTTGTTACAAAGAGTGCTTAAGGTGTCACTTGTTACAAAGTTGCATCGCAATTCTTTCTTTCTTTCTTTCTTTTTTGTTTTTTTTTTATTTCCATTGGCTGGCTAGCCTTTGCCATGCTTGAATTTTTCATTTCTATTTGATTTGTGGTACTGGGTCCGGCACCAAGGAAGTTTACTAGCTAAGATAGCTTGCATCCACCAAGCTGGTTGCTTACGTGAATTTATGTTCACCTATTTCATAAACAGAATACAAAATAGATAATTGAAAGTTATGCACACATACAAATATATTTGCTAATCTTTGGCTCATAAACTTTGTGGTATGATTTCTGTTAGTTCTACATGTCATATCTGGATAGTTTTGAAACATCTATGGTGCTTGTTCTGGTGATTCCACTCGATTGAATGGTTTTAAGAGAATATCTTGTTGCCTCAGGATAATTTAATTAACTTATTGTGGTTTTGTATACTCCTGTGAGAGCACACCTCTTCTTCAATGTTCAAATATGTTTTACCTCTTTTAATTACTATCACTTGATTGCCAACATTTTTGGTACCTTACAAACTGTTGTACATTCTTGTTCACCTATTTTATTCAAATTAACTATTCTTTTTTTTTTTTCCTTTACTCATATAAGAGAGATCATTATGTTAGATTTCAGAGAATTTGTTTTTCTTTTGGCGAGTTTTTGGCAGGCATTGCCCTTATGTCATTGAGGCTATCATAGCTTTGGCGGAACTGGGAGTTGCTGCCAAGGATATCATTTCACTTTTTTTACAGGTTTGTTATGGATATTGTTCACTTTTTCACAAGTATATGTGGAATCATGTTTCACTTCTACCCCTGTAAAATCATTTTATCTTCATGAATGCTGATTTTTTATATTTTTTTTTTTTTTTCATTTAGAAGTCCAGGAAGGTTTTGTTGAGCTGTTATGAAGTTTTATTTTGTCATATTTATGCAAGGTTACTATACATAGAACAAGTTATCTAAGTGAAAATATTGATTGTAGTTTGACTTAAATAGACAGCGATGTTGTTCCTATCAATACAAACACAGCTCATATGTGAATGAGAAGTAATTGCTGTGGAGGAAATAGTTCTCATTTATTTAGCATAATATTTGGTTCATCTAGGATTTGATTTTTCAAAAGCATGAACCATGACCTGGTGGCAGTTTAGTTGGTTTCTGCTACCCGTAATATTCTCATTTTCATAGTCAATGATTTGATATTCTGCAGCCTTGTTGAGTTTATGGAAAAATAAGATTTTGAATGAATCTGCGTTGTTTTTTTCTTTTTACCATGGAGTTTGAATTGGTTGATATCTTTGGGGCACTTCTTTTATGGTTACAGGCTTCAAATAGAAGTGGGAGAGCTCCACTTGATCATACTGACTCTACTCGCTGGGTTCAAGTAAGTAAGTATAGGATGAAACAGATTAGATTTGGGTCCATTGTCAACTGCTTACTGCCCAATGGTTATTCAGTATCAGCATTTTGTCTTCATTTACCACAGTAATTTTTTTTTTAAAAAGCTCATTTGGTTATAAGTTTGTTGAAATGGCTTTAAATCTTAGTCTTCATCCAAAAGTATCATTCAAGGAAAAAATGAACTAAATGTTCATCCATGTTTCATGCAAATACCATTCTGTTGCTTATAAAATCAAGCATGTAGTGTACAAGGATAGAAATTTTATGCACAGTAATCAAGTCACCTTGGAATGACTGCTGAGCTTGTCAGGCATTGTGGTGGCTAAAAAGCTACCACTGCATGAGCCTTTTCTGGTGCTTTTCTGAAAAAGCCTGTACTTCTATACCATTTGAGCTTTTTCCTCACCATCACCACAAACCAAACACAATGGCTTCATTGTCTATATTGCATGGGTGGCTACTCGAGGAACAAACAACCACCCTTATCCAGTGGCATACTTACAGCATAGATTACAAAAAAAAAGAAAAAAAATGGAAAACAAAAATTACTTGAAGACATTGTAACTCAATCTTATTAATAATTTACCTTTCAACAGTTTTGCATTTTGTTATTGTATTGTTTATGCCCAGCTTGCAACATTATAAACTGCTATTTGTATGCAGCGCTATGTTGAGGCCCAGTGTTGTATTGCTTCAAATGATTACAAAGGTAAAATAGTTACATTTCAAACATATGCAAGTAATGTTTATATGCTTATTTATGCATATCTGCCTGCCGACACAACTAGTTGCAGAAGGGGATTCCTATTGCTAGTATCTTAACCTGGTGCAAAAGCAAATATATAAGCAAATAAGAGGTGAATTTTAGCTGTTAATCAGATGTGTCAATTAATTGATTATCTTAATGAAATACATACCCAAAAATTGTTATGTGAACAAGGGAAAGAAACTTTGCAAAAACAGCGGTAGTAAGTGCACAATTTACTTCCCTTTCTTAGATTTTGTCAATTACAGATCTGCTTCCTTCTATTGCTTGCCATGTCAGCTTTAGTGATTATTGATTGATCATTGATCCACTAAGGTTTTTACTCTTACACTCTCTCTCCCTTATGTTGGCAGGTGGTTTGGATCTCTTTGCAGAACTCCTGCAACGTTTTCCTCATAACATACATGTATTACTTGAAATTGCAAAGGTAAGAAATGCTGTACTATAATGCGTGCAAGCTGGCTAGAGATTTTAAAATTGTTTATCTGTTTCACTAATTCGTAACTCGATGTCTTAAGGTTCAAGCCATAATTGGGAAGAATGATGAGGCCTTAATGAATTTTGAAAAGGTATTAGAAGTTATGTTTTCCACTTTGAGGTAGTGCTCACTGCTTGCACATGGCACAAACATGTTAAGTTCATGGACTTGCAGGTTCGATCAATTGATCCATACATTGTAACTTATATGGATGAGTATGCAATGCTTCTAAAGACAAAGGGTGATTTTTCAAAGCTAAACAAGTTGGTGCATGATTTGCTGAGTATTGATCCCACAAGGCCAGAAGTTTTTGTGGCTTTGTCTGTCCTGTGGGAAAAGAAAGATGAGAGAGGAGCACTGTCTTATGCGGAGAAGGTTAGCTTTTTTTATTTGTAGTAATATGAATCTTTTCTCCATCTGCTTAATCTCACAAATCCACTGATTGATTCTTCTTTGCAATCAGAGCACCAGGATTGATGAGAGGCACATTCTGGGTTACATTATGAAGGTATACCGATAATTTATGCCTGATAGGATGGGTATTGTTTTGATCAAAGTCTTCTCTGATATTGTTGTGGGTTGATATCTCTCTGCAGTATAAATCTTAATCTTCATTACATTCTTTTCTGTGATATCAGGGTACTTTGCTATTGTCACTAAAGCGGCCAGAAGCAGCTGTAATTGCTTTCAGGGGAGCTCAAGAATTGAGAGCTGATCTCCGCTCATATCAAGGTACAACCGTACAATCTGCAAGAGAAAAAATAAGACCAGAACTTCATATTGTTCATCTGCATAACTTCCATGACATACCTATGATTGGGTTACACCTGTCCACCAGATGGAACAATAACAAGGAAAACAAACCTCAATTAATTGAATCAATTACAATTTCAGGTTTGGTTCATTCTTATTTGGCATTCTCCAAAATTAAAGAGGCCCTGCATGCTGCCAGGGAGGCAATGAAAGCCATGCCTCAGTCTGCAAAGGCTCTAAAATTAGTAGGGGATGTACATGCTAGTAACTCTGGTGGAAGAGAGAAGGTAGTAAAATCGTAACAGATCAATTTAACTCTCCTTTTCTTTTGGTTAAAGGATCACATTTCATCAACTCATGAGTGATCATTTCTAAATTTATAGTTAAAGAAGTCAATATAATGTCAAATTAAACAGGCAAAAAAGTTCTACGAGTCAGCACTGAGGCTGGAACCTGGTTACCTTGGTGCGGCATTAGCTTTGGCTGAGCTTCATGTCATTGAGGGTCGAAATGGAGATGCTGTGTCTCTGCTAGAGCGATATCTCAAAGACTGGGCAGATGACTCTCTTCATGTCAAGTTGGCTCAAGTATTTGCTGCCACTAATATGCTGCAAGAGGCTATGTCACATTATCAGTCCGCATTAAGGTAGAATATTAAATATGTGCTCTGATTTCTTTAATCTAGAATCTGAGATTTTTTACCTGAATGTTTGCATGCTTTTATTGTTGATTGCCAAGAAAGCATAGCATTGCCTTGCTGTTAATGCCCACAATTTAATACTGTGGTTGCAGAATAAACCCACAGAATGAAGCTGCAAAAAAAGGGCTAGAGCGCTTGGAAAAACAGATGAAGGTTTGCAACTTATTATTTCAGCAACATTTTTAATTTTCGGTTTCTGCACTGTCTATAACTAGTGTCTTTTACTAGGAAAAATATACTTGGACAACTGACTTGGGGTGGGTTGGGGGTCTGGATCTGGGATGTTTTGGGTACAATTTCTATTTAGGGAATAATTGGTTCTTGCTGTAGGGGGTGGATCCGGATGCACCTGAAGAAGAGGAAGAAAATGAGATAGAAGATGCAGATGGAGACCAGGAAGAGACTGATCTTTTATAAAAGCAAAGCCAAAGAAGATCTTGTAAATTTATACGAGATCAGGAAATTGTTTCCACCAAGAATGTTGGCTGAGAGAATGCCATGACCAGTGTGGACTGCAGGAAAAATTGAGGTGCTTTTGTATGGTGCTTTTGCGTGATGGCGTGTAGGAATGAGATTGTGTTCAATATGTTGTTTGTATGTCATGGTTTCAATTGTAATCTTGAACGGGGAAAGTTTTGATTCCAGGGTCATACGACCCTTAATTTTCAATGTATACACGTCTTATTTTCTGGTCCAGAATTTACATAAGTTGATGCTAGAAAATACTTTTGGTAGCTCGCCCTTATAATCGTCCCCCAGAAGTTCTTTGGACATGTCGGCACACCCTAAATTATGTGGTAGTTGGCAATTTAGTAAGGCGACTCATGTTTTCTAGCTACCATGTTAATCTCTGACTATGTAACATCTGATCGTGGTCTGCAGTGTCGGTCTTGTGGATGAAAACATTAAAAGAAAGGACGAAGGAAACCCTTTATTTCTGCATGACAGTGATGTTATTGTATTGACTGTGCTGGGATTGGTAGTGTGGTCGGTTGCCCTACAATGCGACGGATGACAGTTGGTTTCTTGGTGTTCTATTATCTTTTTCTGTGTTAATCAATTGTTTTCTAGATTCACGGAAACTGAAGGGTTGTGTTCTTTCGTTTTTTGGATATTTATGGATCTTTCAATGGCATTATGTTGAAATGGCAGTCAAGGAATGAGACATGAGGCTAATGCAATCAATCATCATGAGTCTGATGTAAACCCTTGGCGGGGATGTGTGATGATTGGAGACATCAATGCTGCCGATGATAAGGTAGCTCCCGCAAGTCAGCTTGTTTGGGCAACTTTCTTCTATCATGCTATGGTTGCTTTTGATGCTTGTTTTGTATCTGATAAAAAGACTGACCTGTAATTTTGATTTAATCAGCTTTTTTTATTTAATCAGCTTTTTTAATGCTGCAGTTCAAAAGCATCCGTAGATGGCAATCTACAAATTGTTCAGAGGAGATAAGCATGGAGTTGACATTTTCTCTCTGGGCTACTCTCGAACCTGAGTCCTCTTAGAAAAAGGGGATGCAGGAGCCTGGCGCTACAAGCTTATGCATGAGAATAGCCCTGAAGGTGTTGGAACTTCTCTACGCAGATGGTGAGAGTGCCTCAATGTTTAGTAGTGGCTTTTTGTTTGGATTTATAAAGAACAGAAATTGTGTAGTAAATTAGAAGCGTAATCGAACATTTTACCAGGTTTACCTATAGAGATACAGCACTGATCTGCTAAAGCCGGCATTGTAGTTCTGATTTCAAAAGATACAATTTCTTTTCCTAGATCATTTTACAGGGGGGCGAAATCAAAGACATAACCTCTTCAAATGACCATCTTTTATTGGTTCAAGTTATTTTCCTAGACCCAAAGCGCCTCCGCCTCCTAAAGAGTTTGAACACAAATATTCTGGACACTAGCTTGTATTTCTTCAGAATTTTTTAAGGCCAAGAAATAGCAGAAAACTGAACAGGTATGGATGTAACCTTAGTCTCATATATTTACAAGGTTATATTGCAACAATATGATTCTCCATCCCATGCACTGACCATTGATCAGCTCAGCGGCAGTTATCTTCTTAGATGGCATGCCCTCTGCCTTGCACACAATCTTTCTCCTCAGTGCACATGGAATGGTTTTCTTGGTGTAGGCGTTCGGTTTTCCATGGATTGCAATCTTTGTTTGAGATGAAAAACTTCAATCTGCATGGCAGCATGATACACCAAGTATAGAGAGATAAATTAAAAGAGGAAGATCTTAAAGCACAAATAGTTTCATTTAAAAAGGCCCATCGCAGGTGGTGGTAGATTCAAATTACACAACACCATTGGCATTTCCTCTGCCAACAATGAATGGTCTGTCATCCAGGAATTTAGTGATGTTTCAAAGGGTAAACATATCTGAAATATGAAGAATCACTTGTATTACCAGGTATATAGCTGGACCTCTATCATTCAATCAAAAAAGAAGCTGGTAACCTGGAATATTTTTATGCAGCTGTGGCAATTTATCCCCAGGGGAAAGCGGAAAGGAGAACTCGTGTATTCTCTCTAGAGTGCTCAGACATGAGCATCAGTGCTAGACTGGAAAACTCAACTAAGAGAATACCTTAAAAAGTTTTGCTAGATTTGTTGGGTGGTTGATGCACTTATTAACCAATAAAGACAAAGAAGAGCTGTTCAAAATAGCAAGATAGTGAATCACACAAGTGGGAAGAATCTATCAGGAAGAATCTTTCATCGTCCCCCCACCCCCCAAAAAAAAAAACAAAACCTAGAATTTAGTTTAGAATTGGTACCTGTAGTTGGAATGCTCTTGCCCTTTCCCCAGAAAGGACTCCCCTAGTCGAATGCAACTCCTGCAACAAATAGCCAATCAGTAAAAATGACTGAAAAAAACCAATCATCATGATATGGCCTCTGCCAAGACCATGACAAGTACCTTCTGAGTATCATCCAAAACAGCCTTCAGGAAAGCCACATCATGCTCAAGCCTTAGATTGTCTGAATGGACAATATTTGATAAACTGTTGGCCTCTTCTTGAGCTAGCTCTACACAAGCCAGCTTTTCTTTCAACAACTCCATCTCCCTCACTGTGTCTACCAACTTTTTCTCCATTTCCTGTCTGCTCTTCATGGCAGAGGATACATTTTTCTCTGCTGCTTCTCGACCTATAAATGCAGCTGCCAGTTGTCCTTCAAGTACTGCGTTCTTTCTTGTTAGAGCAGCTATTTTTGTTTCATACAATCGATATATACTTGCATGAGCCCCTCCTGTTGTACAATCACTCTCTGGTAATAGTACATCCTCATTATCTATTGAAAGGTTTCCAGTTCCTTGCTTGTGAGAGTTAGAAGTTTCCATTTCAAATACGCAAGACATCTCCTCAGCATGAATTTTACCAACTGGATTGCTAGGCTGGACTGATACATCAGAATGATTTCTTTGGAGTTCAGTAGCCTGAAATAAGCACAATGCTTGTGATAATGGAAAATATAAGCATCTCTTGCAATCCTACTATCGGACAATATCACAGAAAATAGAAATGAAAACAGTTTTACAGTATTTTTATTCTCTCAGACAATAAGCACAATGCTTGTGATTTGACCAAGATATTTATACCCTTCCACTGTCTAACAGTAATCTCTTGATTTTTCAATTGTCGTCAAGAACAAAGAACATCCAAAACTGACCTTAGCACAGCTGTTTGAATTCATAAATAGTCAAGGTTAAAAAAATATAGCAAAGACCAGCTAATTGGTGAGAAATATGATCTTACCAGTGATGCAAAATTTCCATCTAAGTTCTTTGCTGTCTTAGCAGCCGTGGTGTTTTCTTCCTTGTGGTGAAAGTCCTTGTGACGAGAGACATTTCCAGAAGCAGAATTTGGATCAACAAGCAAGGACTGTGACAAAGATTTCCTACCAGAACCATGCTGTTCAATTGCAGATACCAAATTTTGTCTTGTAATTGAATCAACTGAGCGCTGAGAAGAGCCAGTACCAAGTTGATCAGCCAACACTGTAGATGATGAGCACTTTTCAAACAGCAAATGTCTAGGGCCTTCACTAGGAGCAGAATGACGACCCATTGATGATTCATTCTTTTCAATGCCCATCACTTCAACCTGTAATGAAACACAAGGAAAAGTTACTAGTTTTGCAGAATTGACTACATTCTCCAGCCAACATCAAAAGCAGAAATGATGCCACAGAAAATATGACATTCCAGTCTCAAACCTGATTTGATGGCTCCTTTTTGCTTCCACCAAACGCAACAAGGAAATCCTTTTCCTTGTGCTGCACAAGTACCAGGCTAAATCCCTGAGAGAGAAATAACAACTTAGACAGAACCTATGATGAAATATATATATGCAAAGAAAGTACATCCTCATGCTATACAATTTTGAAAGGATATTGAAAACACCACCGCACGTGACACTTAAAACACTTGAAGCCATACCAAAAGAGTGTCTTTAGTCCCCTCTATTTTGAAGCAATATGAACATAAGGTTCTGAATCTTGGGTTACAGCACTCTCTGTAATGACTCAGGATGAAGATTTTTTTTTTTTGCCGACATTAAAGAATTAATGGGGAAAGTAAATTTTTAAAACACATCTACAAGTGATAATAAAATTCAGAAAATACACTAAATATTAATGCGATAATAAACTCAGAGATCCCACCTAAGTTTGTTTGGAATTGTTTCACAAGCACAAGTTAACCTTGAGTTTTGAGTCTGCATCATTATTCCTTGCGCGCATCATTTGTTGGTCATGTTTACCTTTTTCTTTTTCTAGCTTCAAGGGAATAAATGATATGAATTTATTCACAAAAAAATAATGGGGGATGTATGCATACATAGCATCCATTTGGTTTATGCTGCTGAATACATACTTGGAACATTTTCAAACATGACAAGGCAATTGTAGATGCATATTTAGCACCTTTAGCACAGATTGTTCAAAACAAAATTTGACATATTGTTCTGCATGGTTAGCAATTGTTATTCTTATAGTTAGATTCTGTAGTCCACCCCCCTCAATTGGCAGAGGAGCATCAAATCCACATCCATGTGGCTTCTTCACCAACAAATAAAAGTTCAAGGGTTGGTCTTATTTATCAAGAATCCACTCTGTTAACCAGACATATACCATTTATACAAAAGTACAATCTACATGGCTCACCTTGTTGGTAGTAATAGAAGATGAGGGTGATGGAAATGCCACTGACCACTCCACTTTCAAGATATCAAAAATCAAAGTTTCTGAGTGCCCTGTAGATATAATAAAGAAACAGGAATCAGCAGCATGTGCCGAATACCAATGAAAACTAAGAATACCAATGAAAACTACTTCAACATTTTTTGTTAAGTGATACACTGAGAAAGAATTTAACAACGCAAACATGCTAATGAGTTAAACTCCAATTCAACTTACAGAAGAAACGCCAAAATCCAATGCAGTAAGATTCATCAAATTCTAATACCGTGAGCAAGAGATACAGAACACATGGCATAAAAGCTATTTTATCCTATCTATTAACCCAACCAAGAACTCTAGTATGGATGAATAAAACATGTTTCTCCCTTCGAAGTTTCACAATCACAAGAACATTAGATATTATGCCTGCAACTCTAACATACATGACAGAAGCATATAACATTGCAAATTATCAGAAACAGGTCAGATGACAGGAGCATTTGCTATTTAGCTATGAGGCATACGTTTTTTCCTAGTTCCTCCCCCCGCTATGTACCATTTAGTTCCGCATAAAACTCCACAGCACCCAGCCCTAGGTGATGGATGGAAGCCTCGTATCTTTGTTCTCGACCATACCATCTGAGAAAAAAGA